CTGGGTGGCTCAGTTGGTTAAGTGTCTGCCTTCGGCTCAGGTCATGATCCCGGGGTCCTGGGATCGAGCCCCGCATCGGGCTCCCTGCTCAGCGGAAAGCCTGCTTCTCCTTCTCCCACTCCCCCTGCTTGTGTTCCCTCTCTCGCTGTGTCTCTCTCTGTCAAATAAATAAGTAAATAAATCTTTAAAAAAATTGGGGGGTGGTGTCATAATATTGGGCCCACTTTCATACAGAAGAGAAGACATTTGTTGAGGCTGGGGGACAGGTGCTGCTGTGCTTTCAGATGGGCACATGCTTCTCAGGCCCAGCAGCCTCTACCCAGCTCACTGTGCTCACCTCCTTTCCCTGCCTGATCCTGGGCATATCTGAACTTGCAACCCCTGGGCTAGTGACTCTCTGAGCCTCAGTTTCCTCATCCGTTCGATAAAAGCATCCATGTCCCTCAGGCTCGGATGCTTGTATTCTCTGGTGATGGCCTGTGTTTGTGCGTGTGCCTGGAGGTGGGTGGGCAGAGCCGGCCAGGTCGGCGGAGTGGGGGACATGGGACCCCTGAAAGGTGGTTCCCCAAAGGGAAGTGAGGAGCATCCCAGGAAAGACCACTCGCAGGTCTGTGATGCTGAGAACTCCGGCTACCCACCTGTTGCGGCCGGCTGTCGCTGCAAAGAGCTAGCATCATGACGCAGCCCAGGATGTCCCCTTCCTCCTGGCAGTCTACACAGAAGCCAAGTCCACTGTTGTGGAGCTGAAAGTGGACACCCGTACAAAAGTGAACCCCGCCGTCCACTGTAAAAATGCCCTGTGTCAGGCGCCATTCCTCTCCCCTCTCTCTGCTGTGTAGCTCAAGGGGTCAGGTTCAGACCACAGAAATGAGCAAGGTCAAGCTGAAGCCTCTAATCCCAAGGGACAGGAGGCAGGCCACACCTGTCATGATGACAGGCCCTGAAACAAGTTTCACGGCAACCAGTCACCTCCCTCAGGGTAGGTATGAAAGCCTCTGAGGCCCCGTGGAGCTTGGGACTGTGTGGCCAGGGTCATGGTCAAACTCCTGAACACCCAGTTTCTGTCTTGGGAAGCTGCCTACCCCCTCCTCCCCGCCTCCCACCCCCACCTCCCCGCATCTTCCCTGGGGTCTGTCTTGCCTTTCCAGAGAACCTGGGCCTGCACTCAGATGGGTACAGCTCAGGGTAGATGTTGGCCAGAAACCAGTGGAACATCCGACAACCCAGCCTCCTTTGCAGCTGCAGGCGTTCTGTGCAGTCTGGCTTCTCGGCCTGAGGGAGGAGAAAGACACGGGCAGTGAGAGGGAAAGCCTGCTGTTTACCACCATTCATGTGTGGACAGAGGTGGCTGAAGGACCCGGACAGAGAGAGGGAACCGAGGCCACCGTTCCCCAGGGCTGCAGACAGCGGGGAAGGTCATGTGTTGGGAGAAGAGGTTTAAAAGGGACAGAATAGGATGGATGCTCTCTACAGAGAGTTGTGGAGTGAGCAACGTGGGTGTGAGGTCACTCCCTCCCCACAATCCCTCACATCTTCAGTCGACAGAGACCATTATACCTGTGCTCTAAGGACTTTTCTGTGGAAGCCGGCAAAACGGTGGGGCTTTGAAGCTAGGCTGCTGTGACGCAGCACTATAATGAGCCTTATGGAGGCAGGAACTGACCCAAAGGCCACTCAGATGAAATAAGCTGGGAAAGTGTGGGGTGGGGTGGAGACAAGGCAAGTTTGCTTTTCTTCCCCTCCAAGTGCCCAATCTCCTCCATTAACGAATCATTCCTTTGGATGACGCTATCCTCTTACCTTGAGATTTTCCTTTATAATACAGTTGTCCTGGGATGGATATCAGGTAAGTCCTTAACACTTTAATATAAATTTATGTATTTGGCTATATTGATAAGATATAAGGAAACCTACCCAAACATTTGGTACTAAGTCCTGGATATTTTTAGGGAAGACAGGTGTGCTAAGGAGTGGTTGGAAAGATCAAAAACAAAAACAAAAGTGTGGGGCTCCTGGGTGGCTCAGTTGGTTAAGCATCTAACTCTTGGTCTCAGCTCAGGTCTTGATCTCAGGGTCATGAGTTCAAGCCCCACATTGAGTACTTAATAAAAGAGAGAGAGAAAGAGGATATTTCCTGGGGTGAGGAGAGGAAAGGAGAGAGGGCTGGAGCAAGAAGTCCATTTCAGAGTTCCAGCCTGATGGCCTCTAGGCTGGCAACCAGACACTGGGCTGACAGGCTATATGAAGTGAGTTTGGTTTGATTCAGCTTCTTCTTTTTTTTTACTCCTCAGATGGAAATGTTGGGGGAGTAAGGTCTGAATCCTCCATACTGAAATGCTCTCGGCATGCTTCTCAAACTGTGATCCCAAGCACCTGGCTCAGAAATGCCCAAGGAACTTGTTAAAAAGGCAGGTTCCTAGGCCCTACACCAGAGACTATGGTTCAATAGGTTGGGGCAGCACCCTTGGAATCTGCATTTTAACCATCTTTCCTGGTGAGTTTTATTCACAGGAAGCTTGAGAACAACTTCTCTGGGGCAGGAATGTCTTGTTTATTCAGCATATGTACCTACCATTAAACCAAAGAGATCTATTACTCTTTCCTCTAAGGAAATTAATACAAGTTTTTTATAGTTTCTCAGCATTCTGAACGTTCACTTGAGACCTCGCCAGCCATTCTATTGGGTTGGACTTTGCTCCCAGAGCAGGAATATTCCTTCATGCATATTCTATCACCTTCACCTTTCTTGGTAATGAAACAAACCGGCGAATCTACCCAGCCCTTGTCTGACCTCAAATGAGGAGGCATGCTGACAATGAACTTGCTCTTCTGTATAACCTTGCTTGAGAGGAAAAAACAAGAGAATGTCAACTCTTCCAACAGTGGAACCCCGGCCTTGTCTTTTGGGTGCCCAGAATTTCTGTATCTCAAAATCTACATGAGGGTTTTGGGGGTGGGGTGGGAGATGGGATGGAAGGATAGAAATTGTAGAACGAAATTAATTTTTAATTATTTAAATTTAAAGTAAATGCATAAAGTAAATGCCTCCACCTTCAGGGAGGCAGTGCTATTATTAAAATCTTGACACTGATGTCAGCAATAGGATATTTCCAAAACATGAATTAATAGGAATGTTCAAAACAAAAAAAAAAGGTCTTCTCATTTACCAGTAGGAAGTGCCACTGTCCTTGTGAAAGTCATCAGATAACAGATGGGGAGATTTGTGGATCAGAGAATAGAGCAGACCCAGCAGAGTAGGCTGGTGAGGGGCTTGTGGGAGTTGTCCCAAGACCTTTGTGGGTCACAGAAACCTTACCTTTGGAGCCCCTGCTCCCAGCATAGCAAACATTAATGCGAACCCACATCTCATGTCGAATAATATTCTGTGTTACCCCATAAGAATTGAGCTGAATGGCCGTTGAAAATGCACTGCTTGTGGACATTTAATTAAATGTTTAAATTTTTCATTTTTCTGTGGCTTGTTTTGGATCTTTTATGTTTATTTTTATACTTTATTTGTTTCATGTCTTGGGTAATTTCGTAGCCTTGAGCACTTTGCCCAGGATAAAACTGCCCTCTGAGACCTGTTACTGCTTATTCCCTGCACAATCTGTCCTCTGCCCCAATGTGTTCTATGCCACATCCCATAGATATCATCCCACTGACGTCAGGAGGCTCCAGGCCAAGACCGGCTGGGATGACCTGATGCTTGGGAGAGATGTTTGGGAGAGACGGGCAGTCCTGCCTAGTAGAGGAGGCACTTGAGAGGGGCAACTTAAGGGAAGCACAAGCCAAAAGCTTGTATTTTCCCCTCCAGGCTAGAGGGAGAGGCACTCCCTGGCTCACCCTCCCGCTGGTGGCCCAGTGGCGGGTCAAGAAGCCCCTGCCTGGATCTCTCCTTACCTTGCTCAAGGAGAAGGCCTCTGGGCTGTGCCTGTAGAAGGTTTCTTTGAATGAGCCCAGCCAAGTCTCAGCAATGCGAACCTTGTTCCTCAGAGCGGCCTCCTGATCAAGGGGGGAGTGGGTTTCCTGATTCCGGTAAATGTGCCCCACCCGAGAGCAGGGGAGGATTTCAACGGAGCCACCACAGAGCCAGACCTGCCAGAAAACGAGAAAAATAAACATCTGAGCACCACTCCAAGTCCATGGGAAGTCAGGAATCCAGGGGCTGGAAAAATGCACAAGAAATCAGGAGCACAAAATCAGAAAGAGAATTCTAGTCCTCGGGTGCCGCAGTTTCCAGATCTGGGAGTTCTGGGCAGGGGAGTGACAGGATGGGAAGAATGGGCCCAGTTGTCCCGGGACAGAACCAGTGGAGTGAGGGGGCCACATCCACGCGACCACCTGAACGTGCCCTTCCCCTGAAGCACACCGAGAGGGGCAACTTTTAGCACTTTTAGAGATGTGGCCATGTGCTCCCCTGTTCCCCAAAGCTGCCTCCTCAGGGGAAAGGGGGTCCCTAGTGGTCAGAGAATTTCTAAAAGCTCGTGACGTCCCCTGCAAGGGGAAAGCAAGCTCTCTCTAAACATAGGCAGTCTCTCCTTCTTCAGGAGGATTCTCAGTGTTCTCTGCTAACGCTCCTGCCTACTCCCAAATGCCTGGAATTCATTTGCTAGGAAGCCTTTCATTTCATCCTTGGGGATAAAGAGGAAAAACAAAAACGTTCCTAGCATAGGCAGCATATGAACTGAAACACAACAAAGATGGAGTTCCCAAACTGTATGCCAAGGTACCCTCGGGGTGCCCCAGCAACCTCAAAGGGCCATGCAGGGTATTTTAAATGTTTGAGAGAAACATAGTGACATCTGTTGGATGTTCTGCAAACTACAAGCTTGAGGTAATTCACGGTTTCAACATTAGATGGCTGCACTTCTGATAATGGACAGCTCTATTGGGTTGGGCTTTCAGTGATTGCTGGGATGAAAAAGCAAGTATCGTGTTAAAATCGACATGGAATGGGAAACGAGGTCTGATCTGATTCCGAGGTTCGAGAAGTTGGGTGGTGCCCAACAGGCGCTAAAGTTTTAGGACAAATACTTATTTTTTGGAGCTAGGGTAGTTCCTTCTTATCCACGGGGGATATGTTCAGGACCCCCAGTAGATGCCTGAAATCACGGATAGTTCTGGGCCCTATATATACTATGTTTTTTCCTTATACATGCATACGTACCCGTGATAAAGTTTAATTTATAAATTAGGCACAGTAGGAGATGAACAACAACTAATAATAAAATAAAACAATATAATGATATACTGTAATAAAAGTTATATGATTATGGTGTCTCTCTCTGAAAATATCTTCTTATAATGTACCCGCCCTTCTTGTGATGAGATGGAGTGAGAGAAATGTCGCAGACACTGTGACCTAGAGTTCAGCTACGACCGACTTGACGATACCTCAGAAGGAGGATCGTCTGCTTCTGGACTGCGGCTGACCATGGGCAACTGAAACCGCAGATAAAGGGAGACCACTGTACTCAATGCACAGAACTGTCTGGCATTGGTTTTGGCCTATGGGTGCTGTGAATAATGACAGAGATGCTGAGGGTGCCGTGCACAGAGAATGTACGGGAACCCCTATGTACAGTATGCGTGGCTGATACTGTGCCCTTTCCTATGGGGAGGTTTGATAGCTGGCTTCGTGAGGGAGGCTGGGGGCACAGTCAAGGTAGGGCACGAGACAGATGGGAAGGGGACACACCACATTTCATGACTTTATTCTTTGCCTGCAGCCTTAGACCTGACCAGGGGCATTTAAGGGCTGCCTCCAAGCTGGGACCTTACCCACTACTCCACAGAGCCCACCTGGCTCCTCCCTTGGTCCCGGACATACCTTGAGAGACAGCTCGAGGTTTTCGCCACCCTGCAGGGACATGAGAGGGTCATACGCTCCAGTGTTTTGGAAGTAATGTCTGTCGATGGCCACAACCCCGCTGGGCACCACTGGGCTCCTGGGCAGAGAGAAGATGGAACAGATGGCAGTTCAGAACCCCGAGCATATCAGGAAGGCTTACCATGCGGGAGCTCCAGGGGCCGAGAGAGTGGGCTACGGGCCCAGATAGACCTCAATGCTTTTCATTGCAAGACCAGAGCCAAGCAACCATGTCAAAAATCCCAGTATTTTATGAGAAGAGAGTTATGGTTGCCTGGGCCCTTTTACCTCCTAAAGGGAGGGCCACGGGGCTGCACCTGAGGCTCCCCTACCCTCTGGCTTGAGTACCTCTAGAGAGACCTTTGGGAAGAAGGCCTTGTTAACATAAGGCACCCTAAGGCAGGTAGCACCAGGCTAGGGAAACCAGGGAAACAGTCTGGCTTTTTCTTCCCACATCCCAAAGTGGGACTTGGGCAGATACCGAGGGCAGGTGCAGGCCGCTGGGGGACGGGTGTGCCAACCTCTGGCCAGAGGCCACGACCAGTGAAAGTGCATGGTGGTGAACAACCATGCAGGACAGCTTGAGCCCAACGTGGGGCACTCCCTCCCCACCGATGCTGACCACCCCCCTCAAAGAAGCCTGGAGCTCAAAATCAACTTCAGGGAGACAGGGTGAGGGCACAAGCCTGGATGATAGATTTAAATATGCAATCACTAAGCTGTCATGGGATTTGACTAATTTGCACGGACGTTTTCTGCTGTTAGGTGGAAAGAGGGGTTAAGATAGAAAAGACCTAAGTCCAGTTATTAGAAAATAAAGACAATTTTTTCTTTGCACTTCTGAGCTTGCGGCTTCTCAGACTTCCGTTAGAGTCACACTCCCTTGGGCAGACCCCTGGGAAGGCCTGTTTGTGCCTAATGCCTTCCTACCGTGTCCCTCTACTAGGTGCTCAGACACCAGCTGTATAATTGGTGAGCATTGGGCAGTGTATGATGGAGATGGACCATGGCGAATGGAGGCCAACTGCCCAGAGGGCAACACCACACGATCCCTTGTCCCACAGGCTCTCCTTACAATGTGACGTTGACATTGCTTCCCCTGAAGGGTGGGGTCTGTGCCTCCTTCCCAGGAACCTAGGTGGGTCTGGGATCTTTTTGCAAGTGACCCTGGGTGAATTCTGAGGCTTGGCGAGAGAAGGGGATACGTCATCTAAAACATTAGACTGAGTGAAAGAAGCCAGGCATGAAAGGTCACACATCATATGATTCCATTTATATGAAACGTCCAGAATCGATCAATCCATAGAGATAGACAGTGGTTGCCAGGGGCTGGGGGGAGGAGAGGGTGGGAAACAACACTTAATGGGTACGGGATTCTACTTTGGAGCGACGGAAATGTTCTGGCACTAGATCGAGGTGGTGCTTGCACAACTTGCACTACTTGTTATGAGACTGTTCATTTTTAAATGGCTCATTTGTGGTATGTGAAATTCACCTCAACAACCTATTTTTTTAAAGGGGGAGGGGGATAGAGCTTGTTTCACCTGGCCATCTTAGGCTACTTAGTGTCAGAACCCAGTGTCATGGTGTAGCAAGCCCCAGGTGCAGTGACCTGATGGAGGGAGTGGCTGAAGTTCCCGTGGAGGTCTCAGCTGATGACAGGCATCAACCTTCAGACATTCGATGGGCCTCAGGGCAGCGCCCCCCCACCCCTGCTGCCATCTTGAGCTCTATCTCCTGCCATCCTGAATACCATGGAGCAGAGACCACCAACCCTGGTGCTCTCTTTCATAATTCCTGACCCACAGAATCTGTGAGCTTAATAAAACTGTTGTTGTTCTACACCACTAAGTTTGGGTGGTTTGTTATGCAAAAGAAGATATCTAGAACATCTTCTTAAATAGAATCAGCTTCCAAAACCCAAACATGCCCCAACACCAAAGCAAGCAAGCAACTCATAGAATTTGATATATTTTGAGAGTTAGGGTGTCTTATCATTCACCTGAAGGAATCCTTCCTTTTTAGCAAGAAAGCACCTGAGGTCAGGGAAATTCCAGTGTTACCTGGAGAGGTAGAATTAGGTCAAGATCCCGGCTTGGGTTCTCTCACTGCCCCACCCACAGGGGTGTTCACTGAAGAAGCTACTTGAAAGAGCTTAAGCTGGACTCCATTCACTTAAGAATATAACAATAACAACACTGACGTTTGAGTCCCTGGCACTCTCTCTGCTTTTCATGTAGTGACTCTTTCACTGTTACCCTCAATTCACTGATGAGGAAACTGAGGCACAGATTAAGGAACTTGCTAGAAAACAGGTGGGGCCAGGATTTGATCCCAAGCAGTTTGGCTGCCGAGTCCTTCCTGAGGAAGCAAAGAAGGAGCAGGCTGTGTGAGGAGCCTCACCTAATGGGGCTGATGGGGGACTGGAGGATCTTCCTTTCTCGCTCCGGCAAAGGCTCCCAGTGGAAATCCAGCTTCCAGTCCAACACCCCACGCTGCAGGTGCTTGGAGGGGTAATACTGGAAATTCTTCCAGTCAATCACATCTATGACTGGAGACACCACTCGGCTCCTGGAAAAAATTGTGGAATCAAATAAGGGATAAAAACCATTCACTTGCTGGGGGATAGAAGCATAATCTATACTTGCGCTGCCTAATATGGCAGCCAGGAGCCACATGTGGCTTGCAGGCACCTAAAATATGGTCTGTCTAAATTGAGATGGGGAAAGTACTGCAATGGCTTGTCTCTCTTCAGCCTTCCAAACGGTGCCCTTGATGGGTAACCAGAGTGAGTGCATCCTATATCTAAAATGTTTGTGGGGGCACCTCGGTGGCTTAGTGGTTAAGCGTCTGCCTTCGGCTCAGGTCATGATCCCAGGGTCCTGGGATCCAGCCCCGCGTCGGGCTCCCTGCTCCGCAGGAAGCCTGCTTCTCCCTCTCCC